ATCTTAGAAAATAAACATCACAAACACAAGCATGTATACTGGTTCCACCTCCCCGATGTACATCCAGTCCCCAAGCAAATCCCGCTTGAGAGTTTCCACTATGATTTTAAAATCTTACAAAATCAAAAGCAAACCTGACCAATTTGCAAGATCATACAAATTGCAAACCCAATTGATAAGACCATGCCAATCGTCACACCGATCTCTAGACTAAGATATCCCCTCTCATAAATCGAGAGAACCTTTCTTTGAAGCAATGTACAATTTCAATCTTATAAGCCTTGATATTGATGTGAATGTATAACAGTGGCTTATCAATCTTTTTAACTCTCTGAATATTGTCTAAACAAGCTCTAAGAATGATAGGAACAAAGGCAATATCAGAAACTCTCTTTTATAGAAAAACAGATTGAAAAACTTAAAGTTTAGAGAGTTAATTTGCACATTATGTGAATCTTATAAGTGCAAAACTTGGTGCTTGTTTTCTGATGTTTAAACATATTTATAACCTCCGAAATGACATAATTTTAAATCCAATTAACGTCCACAAAACGGTCATAAACAGTCACTTATTTAAAATGTAAAATATGGAAAAACTGCATCTGTAGTCAACTACAAGTCATAGTAGTCGACTACACTGAGTCTAAACAGACTCTGTGAAGTCAGAAAATTACTTAGTAGTCGATTACAAGGCATAGTAGTCGACTACACTGTAACTCATAGATTCTGGAAATTTCTCTTCAATATTTTGATTGTAACTTTCTCATCCGATATCGGAATAAGGTGATTTAAGATTTGTTGGAGCTCTTGAAGAGACCTATAACTTTGATCTTTTGAGTTTTTTCAGATTCTAATTGATAAGGGGTATAAATAAAATATTTTAAGACTTACTTAATATCTATAAACTCTAATGGCTAACATAGGGGATTTCTATTGTTAACCAACACAATAAGCATGTGTTAGTGTGTTCTAACACTATGTGTGTGCATGTGTGTGAGTGATTAAGGCTTGTACAAATTTCTAAGCAAAGAAAATATAAAATTATATTTTGATAATAAAGTATATCTTCTTCTTTGCTTCATTTTGCCTTGAACTCATCTATGTCTTGAGTATCTCTTTGAATATAATTGTTGATATAGCTCTGATACTGCAAAACAAATATTAGCACATAATACACATAATATATAATATTTGTTATCATCAAAATAAACTAATCTTGGGGTTAAGATTCCTAACACTCATTTCCTGGTGCAACTCACATAAATATTTTTTATAGAAGAGTAGTCGACTAATGTTCATATTAGATGACTACTCACACTTAGTCCAATTTTCCAAATTCTGGATGGGCTCAGAGTAGTCGACTACTAAGCGTAGTAGTCGACTACTAAGGCTATTTTCTGAGTTTTGGTTTTGTATCTATTTGAGATGTGTTCACGGGGTTCGAGCCGTACTCCTTTACATGTAAATTCACGAATACACAAGTACAATGTCGTTTGCACAAACATGAGTATCCCAGAGGGGATTATATCAAGTGTTGGGTTATTTATTGCTCATACACTCGCTAGATATCGTTGATGAGCACAACTCAGTACTATATGGGACAGTGTGTCGATATACCAGATTTTCATATTTTATACATGAAATGGATATCGTTGATAAGCTCAGTTCAATACTACATAGGGTAGTGCATCGATACTCCATTCGTATAGGCCATTGAGTCGGGTTTGGATACCTATATGGTAGGTCTTCCCGCAATTATGTTACGCACTAAGACCGCGATAAAACTAATGAGCCGTGTACACCGTTTAGGATACCTATAGGGTAGTCCGTTGTACATGATGATACTAAGTTTCAAAATCATGCAAAAGGTTGCATCTGTCACGCCCCGCTTTCTAAAATACTGGGGAATTGGAACGTGAACAAGCCCGTGACTTATTAGACTGAGGAGAAATATACTAGACCTTCTACTCAATCTAATACGCTAAGTGTCAAGCAATATAAAGCAAAGGCACATGTCCCCGATCACAGTAGCAAGAATATAATAAACAACTCAAAACAAAATGATATATATCACAAATGAAATATCATTGCAGACATAATATTCGTGCCAAACATGCCCTAATACAAAAGAATCCAACTAAAATACTGGAGGAACATAAAATACATTGATCAAGCGGAAATGGAAGGTGCTACAAAGGTAAACAAGGACCATTGAACAACTAAAGGAAATAACTACGCTTCTGCTTCTTCTCCTGCTCTGTCTGCAAAGCACTCCTGTTGAGAATACTCGGGTTCCTGCTTAACCTATCCTTCCTCCAAATCTGACATACCATCCGAGAGAACATGAGTACGTCAACGTGCATGGTACACGACAATATCCCAAAGGAAGAATAGAAATGGTCGAACGACCAATGCAATAATAATAATAAATAGAAACATGCAGCTAGAATATTAACAAGCTAGATGCAATCCACCACTAGAGTATAACAATGAGAAGAATCGATAAACATCCGAGTAACAAGGCCATACAACTAGATGTAAATAAAACATAAAAATCTATAACACTAGACGTAGTACGTCGAGCAAAATAATCCAAACAAGGAAATCTTCATGTATATACCATATGTCTCATATTATAGATAACTAAATATTAAACCCGATCTATGTATGAAAAGAAATATAACTAGTCCTCATCTCACAAAAATCCATAATCATCTAAGTAACGAGATCATGTAACTAACCATCCTATAACATGTTACTAGTCCATATCTCACATGGAGTCAACGTTCATATTCTCGGATAACTGACTATTCACAAATCTTCTACGCGCATCCAATACCGCTACAAGAATTGGTCAGAGGACTACACGCAATCCGATTTTGGCCTGGTCCGAACTCAAGCAAAACTCGGGTGACTACACAAATTCACTGACCAAAGTGACTACACGAATTCACTTTAGCCCAACAAACCAACCCCAGTGGCTATACGAATTCACTGTTGCGAGCCTGGAAGATACATCAACAGCCACATCCAATCACATGAACAATGACTTTCCTACCCTAACTCTTCTTATTTTTCTATGTCAACATACACATGTCTCTAAGTCTTGTACATGGCACGCAAGGCCACTAAAGTCATGAACTACTAACGTTTCTCAATCACAACAATGAATAAATGCAACTGATCATGAGCACTAATGTCATGTCATATCACAAATAATCAAAATTAAGAGTCATAAAATTATGAACAATATCTATGTAATTTAGAAAATAATCTTTTCAAAAGTAATTTATTTTAAAATTGTTTCTTATAATTAATAAGTAGTCTTCAAAAATCATAAACTTATTTATCTAAAGTAATCCTTTTACAAAATAATTTCCTCTAAGTGATTTCTAATCTTTTAAAATCATAAATCTATTTATTTAAAAGTCGTTTTACAAAATAATTTCTTTTGAATTAATTTTCATTATAATAATCTAAAATAGTCCTTTTTTCCAAAATAAATTCTTTTAAGCTGTTTCTCATTATAATAATTCAAAACTAGTCTTTAGGAATCATAAATGTATTTATTTAAAATAATTCTTTTATAAAATAAATTCTTTTCTCATTATGGTAATTCTAAAATTAATCTTAAAATATTTTCTTTCAAAATATTTTGTAATTAATCATAAACTATTTTTGAATATATCCATTCATCATATATAGCACAACATATAACCACCGCAGTTTTATCAACAAACACACGTAGATAATAACATATCAGTCTAATCTATACAATTAATTAGTATCAGATATAAATATTAAAATAACGAGTCAAAGAGAAGCAGGATCTTGCCTATGAGTTTTTGTTGAACATATCGACGTTATCGTGCAAGGCTACAGGCTTGCG